CGTGGTCCATTGGTCTTAGTTTTAAGTCGGGCATGTCCTTCTACAGGAGGAAAATTCAAAAATAGTCAAACATAGTCTGGGGACGATTTTTAGATGATGTTTTGACCATTTGGGGATATGTTAATACTATGTTTAAGTTTCCGTCCAAAATCCGCCTGTAGGGGGACACGCCCGACCTAATCTTATTTCCTTGGTTCCTGGTCTTGTTTCCTCGGTGACTCCCTGGTCTCGGTCCCTGGGTCCCTGGGTTCCTTGGTCTTGGCTCCTGGGTTCCTTGGTCTCGTGACCTTGGCTGCCTGGTTTCCTGGTGTTGGTTCTTTCGTTCCTTGGCTTGTGTTCCTCCGCATCTTGGTTCCTTGGTCTTTGATTCTCGGTCCAGTTGCTCGATTCCTCGTGTTGTTGCTGCTAGTTCCGTTGGTTTTGTTCCCGCTGTTCCGTGGCATTGGTTCCTCCGATCCTCGGTTTTGGTTCCTCTCCTCGGTTCTGTGCTCCGGGTTTCTCGGTGGCTTCCTTTTGGTCCTTTGATTCATTGTTCATGGTTCCTTGGTTCCTGGGTCTTGGCTCCTTGGGTCCGTGGTCATGGTTATCAGTGTTTTGGGTCTTGGTGTGTTGGTTCCGTTGTCTTGGTTTCTTGGCCACTTGGTCTTGGTTGCGGGGTGTTGTCGAAGTATTTATCCGTTCCTCGGTTCCTTGCTCTTGGTTCCTTCGTTCCTTGGTCTTGGTTCATTTGTTCCTCACTGTTTGTTTCTCGGCATTGGTCCTCTGCGGCCTTATTGTTCGTTTAGTATTATACATGGTGTTGGTTCTTTGTTTGCGTGGCCTTTGTTCATTGGTTCCTTGCAGTTGACTATTCGGTGCCTTCTTCTTAGTTCCTCGGTACGCTGGTCGTGGTTACTTGATTAGTTCGTTCCTTGGTCTTTGTTCCCTGCTGTATCGCCACGCAATGCAATGGAACACCACACAATGCCAAGCAATGCCAAGCAATTTCACGCAACGCAAAGCAATGCCAAGTCATTTCCCGAGCAAAGTACCAAACAGTGCCATGCAACGCGCCCCCACCATAGGGAGCCTACCTCTAATTGGGGTCGCGCCGGACTCATCCGAATGCGCAACAGTTGCCGCCACGTCGCGTCTGGTTTTGCACATCGCGAAAAAGTGTCCGTGGCCTGCCCTGCATGATTCTCAGATTGCGAAAAAGATGCAGTGTCGAACCACGTCCTGCTTTCTCAGAACGCAATAAGTTGCCGCGCCGTTCCGTGCTGACCATGTGTCTTACCACGCAGAGTTGGTGTATAAGGTTTCTTTGCCGCGGCGAGCTCTGACAAGAAAGGGAAATTCTGCAAGGCGACAGTCACGTGCACGTGCTTTGGGACAAAGTACTGGTTGGAAGGGCGGCGAGGTGGGGAGGGAATGGGAGGGGGGAGGAAGAGGTGGGAGGGGGGAGGAGGAGGATTTGGAGGAAGAGGGAGACGAGGGAGGAGGAACAGGAGGAGGAGGATAAGGCGGATGAGGGAGTTGGAGGGAAGGGAGGGAGGAGGAGGTGGAGGAGGAGACGGGAGGGGAAGAGAGGAGGTGGAGGGTGGAGGGAGGAGGGTGGAGGAGGAGGGAGAGGAGGAGGGAGGAGGAGGAGGGAGGGAGAAGAGGGAGGAGGAGGGCTGAGGTGGAGGTGGAGGAGGCGGGACAGGGGTGAGGAGGAGGTGGAGGAGGAGGCGGGAGGAGGAGGAGGAGGAGGAGGAGGAGCAAGAGGAGGAGGAGGAGGAAGGCGGGTCCCCCGTAGCCTTTGCATCGGTTTCTCTCTCTCTCTCGCTCCATTTCCCAACTAGGCTTGTCTGAGGGGTCTTACTTTGTTAAAGGCTGGTGCCGCCTATTGTTACTTTGACCGTTGCTCGAGGGTTCCTCGGGTTCCTCGGGTTCCCCGCCCCCGGTGCCTCCTGATGTTACGCTGCCCGTTTCCCGGAGGTTCCTCGGGTTCCCCAGGTTCTTCGCGTTCCCCGCCCGGGGTGCCTGCTATTGTTAATTTGTCCGTTCCTCGGAGGTTCCTCGGGTTCCCCGGGTTTCTCGGGTTCCCCGCCCCTGGTGCTTTGTGTTTTTAGAAATGCCAAGCATTGCGCCCATGCAATAGGAAGCGTTCTCCTAATTGGGGTCGCGCTGGCTTAATGTTTCTCTTTCTCTGTCTCTCTCTCTGTCTCTTTCTCTCTCTCTCTCTCTGTCTCTCTCCCTCTCCCTCTCTCTCTCTCTGTCTTTCTCCCTCTCTCTCTCTCCTTATATCTATATGTATGTGTGTACGTATGTACCTCCCCCCCACTTCCACGGTATAGGTTTGAGCTGTCTTAGCCTCGTGCTCTGTGCTCACCGACCCGTTACGTTGCGATTGCGATTGCAGAGGGAGGCGGGGCAATACACCATGTAAGTGAGCTCGCCAACGCCAGGGTGAAAAACTCCCCTTGGCCCAACTACGGTGAGGAACTTTTGGTTTGCGTGTCGCTCCGCCGGTTCTGGCCCACCACGCTTCGGCGCGACACGCTAGCCACGTTGCCGTCCCAATAACGTCCCAAAGTGTTCGTGGCCTCCCGCCCCGCGGAACGGAGCGGAGCGACACGCTATCCGCTTGTAGGGTCTAGCGTGTCTCCAGGACCGCCGCGGCGACACGCCAAGCACAAGTTCCCAATCGTACCACCCCCCTCCCCTCCTCGGACAGAGCCATGCGGCATTCAGTGCGCTGTTTTGCCGAAGGGCGATTCTGATGCAAGCTGCAGAGCGCTGCGCACCCAGAGATCCGATGTCGTGATTTTTTCAATACGCGGTCCCCGGAAGTCTCGACCCATTTCCCCAGGACCGGTTTTTCATCCCGAGTCCTTTTTTGACGGGCCCGAAGCCCGGCGAGGGCACCTAGAGGCCGAAAATCGAGAAAAACGTCCGTCGTGATTTTTATCAACGCGTTGATGTTTGGAATAAGTGTAAACTTGCGGAAAGCTATTCCGTGCTGATGTTTGTTCCAGAAGTTGGATTTTTGGGGGTGCGAGCTGCAGTGCGCAGCGCACCCCAGCTCTTCCCAGGGACATCGGTCGGAATTCCTGGCGACCTGGCATCGCTCGGACGTGTGCATTTTTTCTCGGCGGGGACCCTGGAGGAGCATCCTGGATCATCGAGCAAACAAAAGCACGCACGAAACCGACAAATGCACAGGGAATGGACGTCCGAGCGATGGCAAAGCGATGGTCTGCGCCCCCCTCGGCGAGGCGGCGCGGGGCGCCGCCCGGCGCCGAGGCGGCTCTGGTTCCCCAGCCCCGCCGCGCGCGCGGGCGGCGCGGCGGCCACCGCGCGCGCCGGCGCGACAGCGGAGGCGCGGTGCACGGCCGGGCCGGCGGGGCGCGCAGTGCGGCGGCGCCGGTCCACCAAGGCGCGGAGATGGTTCAATCAAGCAGTGGCGAAGCGTCCTGGCTCGCCTATAGCCTTACGAAACCATGTTCTAAGAACCTTGTGTGGTTTCCACGAAATGTTCTTCGAACATTTCTGGCTGGGACTGTCTCGGTTTAACACGTCGGGCTAATGTTCTAAGAGCATTTTTTTGTTCTTAGAATTGTTTTGGGTTCTAGGAACACTTCGTGGTAGAACTATGGGAATGCCAGGACGGTCGGTCCCTGCTCAATTCAAGGGGCCCGAGGACACACAAAGGAAAACATACGAGTCCCAGGATTCCCCCTAGTTTTTGTCCATCCTTTTGGGATTTTTGCGTCTTCCCCTCCGCCTCCCATAGGTTCGCACGTCTTTTCCAGGGGATCGACGATGAATTGTGCCTATGTGTTTTTTCCCCTCCTGAGTTACGGCGGGCGTCGGCGTCGTCGTCGGCGTCGTCGTCGCCGTCGCCGTCGTCGTCGCCGTCGTCGACGGCGGCGGCGTCGGCGTCGGCGCTGGCCCGTCGAGGTCTCAGATGCAACGCCGAGGCCTCAGAAGTCCCTTTCGCTGGCGCCCGTTGTTAGGAAACGTATCAGTCACGGCGGGCGTCGGCGCCATCGTCGCCGTCGCCGTCGCCGTGGTCGTCGCCGTCGTCGTCGTCGGCGGCGGCGTCGGCGTGGGCGCGTCGGCGCCTCTGCGGGCCCACGGGGCGCCCGGGCCCCGGCTTGGCGGGAAGAGCTGACGTGAAGTCGGGCCTGGCCCTCTGCAGGAGGAGTGGTCAAGTGAAGTTCAAGAAGTAGTCTGTGACGATCTGTGTGGACTATTTTTGAGCATTTGGGAGTACGTTTGGCGTATCGAGTTGTTTTTTTCCGGCGTTTGGAGCATTTGGGACATGCCTTTGATCATTTTGAAACAGAGATAATTCAAACAAGTCGGGGAACGATGTTTCGAGTATCCTTGTCTTCATCTAGTCTTGCTTTCTAGTCCCAGTATTATTGTCTTTCTTTTGAGTATTACTGTCTTCGAGTATGTTTGATTTGTTTCTAGTCTTTCATTTCCGCCCCTAAATCCGCCTGTGGGGAACATGCCCGACCTTACGCTAACGTGCTCTCTCCGTCTTTTTGCCTTCAGGGCCCTAAGCTGCATTGTGCGCAGCACGGCAGGCCAAAGCAGCACGGCAGACTATCACAGCATACCACAACAGCACGGCAGACCAGCGCGGCGGCGGTCGAGTGCATCGTTGCCATCTGCGAGGCCGAGCCTGCGGTGGCCTGGCCCCGCCGGCGGCCGCCGCTGAGGTCCAGCGCTCGGTCCTGCGCCCCTCCCGCCGCCTGCGTCGATCCGACGTGCTGCTGTGCGCCCAGGGCGTCACGGTGCTCAGCGTGGCGGCCGCGGAGCGCGAGGAGAAGCAGGGCTGACTAGGCCTCCGCTGCACCTGTGGAGCCGTGGTCTACGCATCCGCAGGGGGTAGGTTCGCGAGTATGGGCGGTGCTGCCAACGCCGTGACGCTGCCGCCGCCAGGCCGCGATGCCGCTGCCGGTGACGCTCTGGCGAGCGAGGGCGGTGTTGCGTTGTTGCGGGCGCGGGAGCGCCGCCGCCGCCAGGCCGAGAGGCCGAAGATGATGACCAAGAGAGCGGTTGGAGGTCCACCGTGGCTGGCGAGACCGACTCGGCCACGGCTTGCTCCGCCGCAGCCGCTCCGTCCCATCGGCAGCGAGGCCGTCGCGGAGCATCTTTTTGCCCATCCCTCGGCCCTCCTCCGCGGTGGAGAGAGGGCCGACGGCGCTCATGACGCGTCGGGCGCTGCCTGGTGGCGGGCGAGGGCGCTCGTCGCCAGCGCCTGGCTCGGCGAGCGCGACTCGGGCGAGAGCGAGGAGGACGTGGATGGGACCAGCCAGCCGCTCGACGAGTACGACCCGTTTGGCGATGAGCCCGACGAGGATTCCGAGTCGGCGGGCAGCGGCGACTCGTGCGGTGTGTCCGAGGACGAAGCGACCAGCGGTGCCGGCGAGGGCTACTAGCTTTCGGCCGCCGCCCTCGCCCTCATCCGCAGCGAAGGGTACGCGCCTGACCCGAGCAGGGTCCCATATCTGGCAGGAGGCGGCTGCTGGATAGCGCCGTTGCCGAGCCGGGCGATTGACGCAGGTTTGTGTTGGGCCCTGCATGAGGCCTTGGGGAGTGCTGCGGCGCAATCCTGGGTTTGCCAGGACTCGGGTTCGCCATCGTTTTTTGACGACCGCGCCTCGGATTTTGACGAGGAGGAGTTTCGTGGGATGTCTGCAGCGGGAGGCCTCGTCAAAATGCAGGCTCGGCCTCGTCATTTTTTTGACGACCTCGTCGGGGATTTCCGAGTCCCCCGTACCCGGGTCTTACGTCTCCCCGACTTGGGGAGTGCTGCGGCGCAAACCCTTGACGCGCGTCGGGTGCGGGCCCTGCGGGAGGCCTCGGGGAGTGTTGCGGCGCGAACCCTAAACCTGCAGGGGAGGCCTGCGGTCTGCCTCGCCGATTCGCGCAGGCTCGGCCACGTGCCAGCGGAGAGCGGCGTATGTGCGCTGGTGAGAATCCAGGGGCTTCGGTCTTCCTGCTTGGGGCGAGGAGTGCGAAGGCGCCGCGGACGCGGCCACTCGGTGGGACCGTGCTGACGCCGGGGCAGCCCGCGGCAGGATTGTTGAGTGGGGTTTGATTGCGCTCGCTCTTGATGGCCGTGGGGAGGGAGTATAGCCTGTACTTCCCGCTTCGTGTAGAAGACTGGGCGCTTCGGTACGGACGGATGAGCACTCTTCGTTTGACCGAACGTCTGAGTGGGCCCTGCGGGAGGCCTTGGGGAGTGCTGCGGCGTGAACCCCAAACGGAAGGTGCACGAGTGGGCCCTGCGGGAGGCCTTGGGGAGTGCTGCGGCGCAGACCCTAGATTCACGTATGCTGTACGGGAGTGGCCTCCTGTATGATTGTGCTTTGCAGTTTGTGCCACCGCCAGGCGCGAGGGGCTCGTCATGCGCTCGGCGACCCCACGTGGGCCTGGGAGGCTCGTGATGGCTGCCGGAGTGGCCTCCTGTAGTCGGGCGTGTGTGCTCTGCAGTTTGTGCCCCCCCGCCAGTCGGGCTGCGGGGGAGTGGCCTCCTGCAGTTTGCCTTCGCTCTGCTGTGTATGGGCCCCCGGCTGTCGCGAGGGGGTTCGTCACGCCGTGCGGCGACCCCCCGTGGGGCGGGAGCTCGGGATGGAGCGGGCAGCGGCCCCGTCGGCGCAGCCTGGCGGCAAGGTGCCCCTCTCCCGCCGCCCCTCGGCCAGGGATCTGGAGGGTGGGGGGCCCGTGGTGGCTCCTCCCTGGGGCGCGGCCCACAGGGGCCCGCCTTTCTCCCGTTCTGTTTCTCTCGCTCTCGCTCTCTCTCTCTCTCTCTTTCGCTTTCGCTAGCAGCATCATGTAGCAGCACGGCAGGCAGGAGCATGGGGCAGGCGTCAGGAGCACGGCAGACCAGCACGGCGGACCACAGCATCGCCGCAGACCAGCACGGCAGACCCTGAGAGCATGGCAGGCCAGAGGAGTACGGCAGACCACAGGAGCACAGCAGGCCACAGGATCACGCAACACAATGAAGCGACAGTAGTTACGTTGGTCGTTTGTACGTCGTTTCCGAGGCTCTTCGAGGTTCTCAACAGGATGTTCGCTGACAAGTTTCGTGGACAAAAACGACGCTTCCCGTTCTTTCTTGGTCAGGTTCCTTTCAAATTGGCCGTGTTGCGTGAGGTAGCTTCCGAACAACGAAAAGTTGAAGGAGTTGTTTTAACACGTCTTATCGCTAACAGTTGAGCTCTCGCCCGAGACATCTTGAACACGTTGGAATGTTGAGCTCGGTCGCGGAACCGTTCGCATTCAGGGAAATGGCAGTCTCGCTTGAGACATCCTCACACTATGATATGATGAAGGAGTAACTTAAATATTTATTATTGTTAAGGGTGAAGCTTTCTCTCTCGCGACATACTCGAACACATGCAGATGCTGGAATCGGCTTGTGCATGTGACGTATCTTCAAAAATGAGGCTGTCGATCGGGGGTTCCTCAAGCGATCGATGGGCCCCAAACTTCCTCATTCGCTCCCGGGACAGATGAGCATTGCCCTGGGACAGATAGGCAGTGATCAAAAGCATGATGACCTCAGAGCCCCGAGATGGAGAACGCGTTCTGGAAGGACTGCACGAGCGTCGGGTTTTCAGAGACGTACACCGAGAAGCAGCACTGGGAACCGTGGTTAAACGATGTTGTTGACCCCCCATCCAGGGTAACGACGGTTACAGGCAATCAGAGAGAAAACACAAGTTTCGGGAGTCTTGGGACGGGGGTCAGTGCCAAAAAGGGTCAGCCAGAGGGCCCGATCTTGCCGAATCCTGCAGAGCCAGGGGGGTGCACCGACCCAGGCCGGTGCGCAGGACCCTGCAGCATCTCGCAGGATCTTGCAAAGCTTGACTGACCCGGGTTTGCACTGACCCGGGTCCCCAGAGATCCGACGTCGTGATTTTTTCAATGCGGGGCCCCCGGAGGGATCGATCCATTCCTGCAGGACCGGTCTTGCATCCGGAATCGTGTTTTCGTCCTCCCGCGGCCCGGTGAGGGCCCCTCTATAGAGGCCGGAAAATCGCGAAAAATGTCCGTCGGGATTCTTCCCATGCGTTGGACCTCTGGGACCGTGCGTCCCCGGAATCGGCGGCGGGCGCGGGGGGGAAATGAGAAGGGGCGGGACTTCCGAGGCTTCTGAGAAGTTTCTGGACTTCTGAGAGGGCTTCTGAGAAGTTCTGTCTGTATTCGAAATAGGCCAAGGAAACGTCTCAGAAGCCCCCCGGACTTCTAAGAAGTCCCGCGGCCTTCTGAGAAGGCCTTCTCCTTCTCATTTCCCCCCTGGGCTCGTCGCCTACGGAAGCTCCTGGTGGCACCATGGCCGTGCGCGGCCGGGTGGCCCGGGCTGCCCGCACAGGGCCCGGCCTCCCCGCGCGCCCCGCCGAGCGGCGGAGGGGCGGCCGCGGGCGCGCCCGCAGCCGCGGTGGAGCCGCAGGAGGGCCGCGGCGGCGGGCGCGCCTCGGAGGGCGGCGTCGGCGCGTCGTCGTGGTGGTCGCCGTCGCCGTTGTCGTCGTGGTCGTCGTCGTTGTCGTGGCGGTCGTCGCCGTCTCGGTCGTCGTCGTCACCGTGGCGGCCGCGGGCGCGCCAGCAGCCGCGGTCGAGCCGCAGGAGAGCCGCAGTGGGCGCGCCGCGGCGGGCGCGCCTCCGAGGCGGCGTCGGCGCGTCGTCGTGGTGGTCGCCGTCGCCTCGTGGACGTCGTCGTCGTTGTTCGGGGGCGGCAGAGAGGGGGGTGATGACCAGGGGGGTGTGGATATCATGGCGGAGGCCATGATATCTCCCCAGGATTCGTGGCGCCTCGTCTTATTTCATTACGTCCCCGCCCCCGTCCTGGGCCGCGCACGTGCCGCCGGCCATGATTTGTGCCCCCCCCCCTCTTAGACGCCCCCCTCTTGGCCGACCTCGTGTTGTCGTGGCGTTCGTCGCCGTCTCGGTCGTCGTCACCGTGGCGACCATCGTGGTCGTCGTCGCCGTCGCTGCCGCCGTCATAGGTGTCGTCGGCGTCCACCTCGTCCTGGTCTCCCTCGTCGTCCTCCCGTTTCTTCCTCCATGTTCGATCCAACTCGTTCTTCTTTCCTTTCTTCGCTCGGGGGGCTGTGGAGGAGGAGCCTGGAGAGGTGGAGGGGGAGACAGAGGAGGGTGAGAGAGATGCGGAGCATGAGGATGTGGAGGAGGAGGGTGACGAGGAGGAGAATGAGAAAGCGGATGAGGCGAGAGAGGAGGATGAGGAGGAGAAGGAGGTAAACGGACACACGAGAATGCTACCAACGGAACAAACAATTCCCAAACCATCTTCCATCCTAGTTTTAAGAAAAAGAAGAGAAGCCCGACAGGCGAAGGATCGACACAAGCCACGACTACATTTCACCAGCTCCAGCCCAAACACCAACTGCACCCACCCAGGCCAATACCGACGAACAACTACCCAGGCCAGTAACCCATGGAGTGATTACCCCGAGCTATGCTACGATACCACTTCCTCTGAGGACCAAGTCGACGAAAACGACCCATGGGCCAAGATGAGCGGCGCATCAGGCACTCACGAGTCCTATTTCACTTCACTCCAACCAAGCAAGTACTACGACATGCACTGTCCCAGCGGCTGGACAGCATACTGCTACTTTGCCGACGACACGGACACAGGCGGCCACGAAGACGACAGTTGGCACTACGCAGGATGCTACCACAAAGCATCCAACACATATGCGGACAGGTTTCCGAACGACGACATCTTACTACGTAACTGGCACAGATCAAGTACAACAACGAGTTGTGCGTACACCAAGATGGGACGCAGTGCCCGTCGCACCCACCACTACGACCAGATCCTAGAGCTGCACCACTATCGACCTTCAACCTCCTACCAACGACATCTACCACAACACTCAAGCTCGAAGACGTCATTCAAGCAGACACGCATCAATCGATGCTCAAACCACCCCAGTACCCCACATTTACACGCTACTGGAACGACCTACGGGCACTTGCAGCACATTGCCGCGACACTTTTGCCCTACGAAGGCAAGTCGTCACGACCTACCAGCACCTGCAGGCAATACTCACGGGAGGAGCTGCATCCCTCAACGGTAACAATATTGTGGCCATACAAAAAGCCGCTTTACGGCTCAAAGCTTGCCACGACGAAGACGACATCATGAAATATGATCGCGCAGTCAACATCCGTGATACAGTCACATTGCTCCAGCAAATCTGCAACCTGTCTACGACCCGACGTAGCACCACGACCGTGCACAACGACAGTGACGGCGACGACTCCAGCGACGGCACCACCACCGACGCCCTACAACACACACACACACGCGCGCGCCCAGCATTGACCAAGCTACCACCACCAACGCTGCAGACCCTATCGTTCAAACCACAGGCACCCGTTCTACCACTTTCATGGAACACA